TAACAGGGAAATAACAAATCACTACCACTTATATAAATATGACAATAAACAGATTCAACATAACTAATTTATATTTTCACTTAGGGAAAAAACAAATTAATTCATACGTTTCTTCAATGCAAAGCTAAAAATTATGTTTCGGTGAAGAGAGTGAGAGACAAACAGAGAAACAAAAAAAGTGCATAAAGTAAGAGAGAGAGAGATGGAGTTGCAAGGGTGTGAGGCAATATAGAGAATCGCTTAAATTGAAAACAAAAAAGATAAAGAAGAGAAGAGTTTGTTTTACTAAATTATTTAAAGTTTGAATTTTTTTTTTCCTTGGGTAAAGTGGAAAAATTTTATAGATATATCAAGAATGTACAAGTAAAACAACAAGGGCATCCCCTTGTAAAAGAAAAACAATATTTACAAATAACTGTAGCTACAACAAGTAGCTACAAGAGAGTTTGAATTTTGATATGCTGTTTATTATATATATAAATATGTGTGTATTGAAAATTTTGTTACATGTTATTTTTAGGTTTTTTTTTTTTTTTTTTTTTTTTTTTTTTTTTTTTTTTTTTTTTCATTTTTATAAAAGGATATATTTGGCTATAAATATCTCTACTAATATAACCTTGTCTATATCCCAATTTTTCAATGTTGATCTTAATTTGCAGATAAAGGTATTAGCTGTAGTTTATTTGCTTATCTTTTACATCTTTTTTTCTTTTTTATTTTCTTTGCCAATGTTGAATGAGAACGCAAATATTTTATATTATTAACTATCTTATGTAATTTAATTAACACTAAATGCTTATCATCAATTTTTTTGTTTCTTCTTTTTTTTTTTTTGAAAAAAAGGAGAGATAGATCTCTACCAGAGAGAATACTCAAAATACATAACTAATTTATATTTTTAATTAATTCATACGTTTCTTCAATGCAAAGCAAAAAAATTATGTTTCGGTTAGGGTACAATCTTATCATCAAATATTGTTGCTTATTATCAAATATATATATATATTTTTAAAAAGGAGAGATAAATCTATACAAAAGAGTGAGAGAAGTGTGCGAGAGATAAAAAAAAATAAGTGCATAAAGTAAGAGAGAGAGATGGAGTTGCAAGGGTGTGAGACAATTGAGAGAATTGCTTAAATTGAAATAATAAAAAAAATAAAGAAAAGAAGAATATAAGAAGTTTTTTTACTAAATTCTTTAAAGTTTGAATTCTGGTATGCTCTTTTTGAAAATTTTGTTACATGTTATTTTTAGATTTTTTTTTTTTTTTTTTTGAAAATTAAACTCTTTTGATGTTGCCATGAAATATGAAACATTATTTGATTTTAATTATAATCATTTATATACGTGTGCTGCACATGAGTGAAAGTGCTTATATATAAGTTTTGCATTGCTATTTTATTGGTATATTTTGATATAAAACTGTTATGTATTTATTGAAATAAACTATATATGTCATTCTCTAATTATATATCCTTTAATTGAATTGTGGTATTTTTTCCCTCCTCTAATTATAATTCCTTTTATTGAATTGATTAAATAAGTTTTTTAATTTCATATATTTCTTTCTCCAATTAGATTTCTTTTTATTGAATTTTAGTATTTTTAGTTTTTTAATAGTATATATTTCCTTCGCTACTTAGATTTTCAACAACTCTATTATTAAATAAATTTTTTAATATTATAAATTTTGTTCTCTTATTAGATTTTCATTTATTGAATTTCAGTATTTCCTAGTATTATATTATTATTAGTATTTTCTTCTCTAATTATATATTTTTAATATTATATATATTCTTCTCTAATTAGATTTCTTTTATTGAATTTCAATATTTTTTTTTTCTCTAATTAGATTTTGTTTTATTGAATTTCAGTATTTCTTATTACCATATTATTATTATTATTATTATTATTACTATTATTATTAACATTAATATTTTTTTAGCTCGATATTATTAAATAAATTAATATACTAAAACAAACATAAACTTAATAGTGTAGATAATGTACCTTCCATATATATATATATATATATATATATCTTTCTCCAATTGGATTTCTTTCTATCGAATTTTAGTATTTTTAATTAGATTTTCAACTACTCTATTATTAAATAAATTTTTTTAATATTATAAATTTTGTTCTCTAATTATATTTTCATTTGTTGAATTTCAGTATTCCCTATTATTATATTATTATTAGTATTTTCTTCTCTAATTAGATATTTTTAATATTATATATATTCATCTCTAATTAGATTTCTTTTATCGAATTTTAATATATTTTTTTTCTCTAATTTGATTTTATTTTATTGAATTTCAGTATTTCTTTTTACTAAATTATTATTATTATTAGTATTTTTTTAGTATATATATATATATATATATATATATATATATATATATATATATATATGCGGAAGGTACATTATCCCATGTTAGTTAGCCGTGGGGGGCTTATTGGAGCATCCCGATTAAGACTTATTGGAGCATTTTCTTGCATGATGCTTTCGTGAGAGACCCGTAATCCAAAGTAGCTTTAATTTGTCCAATGTTAATTGGAAAATGCTATACAAAATTATTAAATAAGTTTTTTTTTTTTTTTTTTTTTTTTTAATTATACAAAAATTGTTTTATTTATTAAATTAGTTTTTTAATACAAAATTCTTTTTTTTTTTAAAATTATATTTGAGTATGATTTTATTAATTTTACTTCTGCTGTTTTTAAAGTTTCCATTTAAAGAATTTTCAATTCTTAGTTCTTTACTATTGACTATAGACTATTGACTTTTTTTTTTTTTTTTTTTTTCAACTGTTATTTTTCAAGATTGATTTAGAAGAATTTTTAATTATATCTGAGTATGATCTATTGATTTTTTCTTTGCCGTTATTTTTTTATATTTATTTGCTTGTGAAATTTGATGGAATAGGTTTCATCCAATTTAGAGTTCTTGATTATTTTTTTTTTATAAAAAAAATATTTTTATTTTTATTTTATTATATTCAAGTATAATTCTATTGATTTATTTTTTATGTTATTTTTCAAGTTTTTGATTTAAAAGAAATTTCATTTCTTCTTCTATTCTATTTGAGTATGATTCTATTAGTTTTACCTTTGTAGTAATTTTAAATTTTTTTATTGAATTTGATAGAACATGTTTCGTATAATTTACGGTTTTTGATTAAGTTATCTTAAAAAATATATATATTATTTCTTCTACTCAAATATGATTCTATTGAATTTATTTTTGCCGTAATTTTTTGAGGTTTCAATTTAATTAATTTATTTATTTTTTAATCTATTATGTTTGAATATGATTCTTTTGAGTTTACCTTTGACATTATTTTTTTTGTTTTATTTTCTTGTAAAATTTGATGGAATATAATTTTCCCTAATTTATGATATTTTATTAAGATTTTTATTAATAAAATCTTTCTTCTATTCTATTTCAGTATAATTCTATTCATTTTACTTGCCGTTATTTTTTTGTTATTATTTGAATAATTCTTATTTCTATATATTTGAGTATGATTCTCTTATTTTTACTTGTCATTATTTGAATATATATATTTTTTACTTAAGTTATATCAACATTGATTGTTATTCAGGTCAAGTGTGTTTTTACTAGTTACATATAAAATAGGAAGAAAAGTTAGAATATAATTCTCTATCTAAATATTATTATAATTATATAATAGATAACTAATTTATACTTTCACTTACGAAAATAAATTAAAGGGTACAATCTTATCATCATTTCTCTTTTATATATATATAAAAGGAGATACAGATGCATGCTAGAGAGTGAGAGAATACATAATTAATTTATACTTTCACTTAGCATACAAAAAAAAAAAAAAAATGGAAGAAGAAGAAGAAGAAGAAGAGAAAAAACTAATTTATGCACTTCTTCAATGCAAAGCAAAAAATTATATTATATTTGGGTTCAGGTCCAATCTTATAATTAAATATAGTTGCTTATCGATTATTTAGGAAGCACGAGTTCTACGAGGAAGCTATACCCATGTCATATTCGTGTTGGACACCGACACTCCTCAGACACTCTTTGTATACGTATTCAATATTTCATATACGTGTCCATAAATAAAAATTAATTTTATTATTTGGGACACTTCGCTAGATACTTTGCTGATACTTTCGGACACTTTGCCGACACTTCCTAGATACTTTGCTGATACTTTCGAACACTTCGCCAATACTTTTTGGACATTTTTAACACAAGTCTACCTACTAATCTTGAAAATAATATAAATACTATCATAACAAAGTAGTGAAATATTGATATATATGATATAAAAATCATTACAATAATGACATAATATCATTTTCTAATTCATTTCAAAACAACTCTTTATATAGAAATTATAAATAAATTAAAATTTTATAATACTATTACTAAATAGATGTATAAAAATAAAAAAATTATATTTATACCTACATCCACGTTGTACGCATGTCCTATTTTTTAAAAACTTTGACATGTCAACATATCCCTGTCCCGTATCCGTGCTACATAGCTTATCATCAATTTATTTTTATTTTTATTTTTCTTTTTTCTTTTAAAAAATAGGAGATAGATCTCTACAAGAGTGAAAGACATTTGAGAGGGAAATTAAGAAGTACATGAACTAAGAGTGAGAGAATTGCGGGGGTTGTGACACTAGAGAAAGGGTTCTGCTTAAATTGAAAATATATAAATATAGAGAGAGAGAGAGAAAAAAAAAAAAAAATTATAAGAAGTTTCTAACTAAATTCTTCAAAGTTTGAATTTTGTTATATATATATATATATATATATATATATGTTTTATAATTGATAAATTATAGTAAATGAAATTTTTATTTCATACATATGTAATATGTTGTTTTATATATTTTTTTTATAAGAAATTAAACTCTTTAGATAAAGATGTCATTAAAAATAATAATAAAAAAATTCCCTTTTTTTTTTTTTTTTTTTTTTCATATTTGGTTCCACCACAGGTCAATAAAAAAAGCTATACCCATCAAAATGATTCCTCATCGAGAAGCATCTAAGGGGGAGCCTATGAGGAATATAATCCAAAGTACTAGCTTATTTATTTATTTTTTAAATGTACGCCCAAGTTGAAACTAAATTTTAGATAATATTATTTTAGAATTTTATTATATATTCTTTTTTCATATTTTAGTATATTTAGTTAATTTAAGAATATTTTCATATTTGTGAAGGCTCTGAAATTCACTTGACCAGAAAATTAAACATTGAAGAAGTTTTTTTTTTTGATACCGAAAGACATGTAGTTAAATAGTATAATCTATTCATTCTCACAAAAGAACAATTGAAATAAGTCGTAATCACCAAACAATATTTGAAGCATTTATGATTAAGTTTTCCCATAACTAAGTGTGTGTACATTTACCCTTTCATGTCCTTATTTTGTGTTTATATTCTTTTTTTTTTTTTTTTTTTTCCCCATCTTTTTTACTATATTAATTTGATTTACTTTTAACTTTTTTTTCTTGTCCCAAAAATTTAAATTTCCATTTTTTTAAAAAAAAAAAAAAAAATTCAAAGAAGACATTTTTACCACTAAGCTTGACTTCTTCCTTCTTAATCAAAATATGGAAACATTGAAGAGGCTTCAAAGAAAACAATTTAAGAATATTTTCATAATTATACAAAAAAAAAAAAAAAAAGGAGACCTATAAAGTTGGTTCCTTTGTGAAGTTTATGCAATTCACTTGACCAGAAAATTAAAGATTAAAGAGATAGTTAAATGGTATAATCTATTCATTCTCTCAAAAGAACAATTGTAATAAATCCTAACCACATCACAATTTAATCACAAAACAATATTTGAAGCATTTATGATTAAGTTTTCCCCCCTTCCAAGTGTGTACATAAGTTCAATACATTTACCCTTTCATGTCCCTATTTTGTGTTTATATTCTTTTTTTCTTCTTCTTTTTTACTATATTTATTTGTTTTTGTTTTCAGGTAAATTTTAGTTTTTTTTAGTAAATTATTTTTGTTTGATTTATTCGAATGAGAGAACCTTTTCAATCTCTGATTTGTTACCAGAAAATTTGCTCTACTTTTAACTTTTTTTATTGTCCCAAAAATTTTAATTTCCATTTTTTTTTAAAAAAAATACTTGCAAGAAAAAGAATTTACCACTAAACTTTACTTCTTCTTCCTTCTTAATCAAAATATGGAAACATTGAAGAGGCTTTTCACTGCTGCGTCTCTCTCGCTCTCTCCAGACACTTCACAGTCGACTTTCTCCCTGTTCAGTCTCTCTCAGCACTCTTCACAGTTACTCTCTCTCTCTCCTTTGAGGAAGAAAAGAACTAGCCTTGGCGCACGGGTGGAGCATTTCTCTTGGCTTGTTATAAGAAGTGTGGCGAACCGACCCCTTCGTTAAGTGCCAGGTACAACATTTTGTAATTTATTTTATTTTATTAAATCCAAAACGTAACCAAAATATTAAAACCAAAAACACGATCAGCTGTAATTTTAAGTACCATTTACTAATTAATACAATCAAAAATCAAATACTGCTCTTCCAAGTATTTTTCTCCTTGTTCGATCTGGTCTGTCTCTTCTTTTTATTTCATTTTTATAGTTGATCATTCATGAATTTTGGACTTGATACAAGAAAGCAAATGTACCAGGTTTTTGATAAATTTGCTTGCTTTTTTGTTCAAAATGCAAAAATACTAATAGAGATGCTTTAGAAATGGGAGTAAAATGATTTTGTATAGCACAAGTGTTGTATATATTTTCTCTAATTCAGCTGGTTGGTTGAAAATTTAGAAACGTGACCAAAAAAAAAAAAAAATTTACGGTGTCAAAATTTTATCACTTAGTTTACATGCTACCGAGAAAACAATATATTAGCTAGAAATTAGAAATTTTCTTGGTCCTTAATGTATTCTCTCTTAATTAATAATATTGCTTGCAGCATCTGAAGATTAGAAGAAGCTCTTCATAGCTACTCGATCTCCTCTTCTTGCACTCTCACTCTTTACTAAGAAGATGGCTGAATTGGTTGTTGGAGCACTTCTCTCGGCTTCTTTTGACTTGCTGTTTAATCGGCTGGATCAGCTGGCTTCTCGCGAGTTCAAAAGCTTCTTTTCCAAACAAAAATTGGATGATGAACTCGTACATAAGCTGAAGATGACTTTGTTGGCCCTTAAAGCACTGCTGGATGACGCTGAGGACAAGCAGATTACCAACGAAAATGTGAAAAAGTGGCTTGAGGAGCTCCAACATGTTGTCTACCAAGCTGACGACTTGCTGGACGAAATCGCTACCAAGGCCTTGAGGGACAAGTTGGAATCAGATGATCAACCCCAAACCCAAAGCACCACAAGTATGGTTGGTTTGACTCGATCTTTCCATCTAATGAAGCAATTTCTGTTGAGAATGAATTGTTTCGCCTCCACTTCTGCTTATCTATCTGATGAAGCCATAGATTTCCGGATGAAAAAGGTCATCAGTATGTTGGAGGGGTTTGTCCAGCAAAACAATTCTCTTGGACTGAGAGAGAATGTCGGAAGAAAACAGTGGAAAACACAAGAAACTTCTTCTCTGGTAGTTGAATCTGATGTCTACGGGAGGAATACCGATAAAGAGAAGATAATGAAATTGGTGCTACCTGACAGTTCAACCAAGGAACAGATTCATGTGATCCCTATTGTTGGAATGGGGGGGATGGGCAAGACGACACTTGCTCAACTCGTATATAATGATGCTAGAGTAACTCAGGAATTCGATATGAAAGCATGGGCTTGCGTTTCTGATCCATTTGACATTAAAACGATAACAAAGAAAATTCTTGACGGTGTTACTAGATCAAACAATGACATCGAGAGCCTCGATGAACTTCAAATTAAGTTGAAAGAGACTCTCAAAGAGAAGAAATTTCTAATTGTCTTAGATGATGTTTGGAAGCATGCTTACGATGATTGGAATCGTTTAAGAATACCATTCAGTGATGGAGCACATGGAAGTAGAATTATTGTAACAACACGCATTGACGATGTCGCATCAGCAATGGGCACCATTCCTAGTCATTGCTTGGAGGAATTATCATTTAAAGATTGTTGGTCATTATTTGAAAAGCATGCATTTCAGAGTGGAGATTGTATGGCTCATTCAGAACGAAAGATCAAGATTGGCGAACAAATTGTGCAGAAGTGCAAAGGCTTGCCCTTAGCAGTAATATCACTGGGAGGTCTCTTGCGTTCTAAACAGGATATGGAGGGCTGGAAAGAAATATTAGAAAGCCAGGTGTGGCATTTGGAGAGCAACGTTTCTCCGGCTCTGCAATTGAGCTATAATGATCTTGCTTCACATTTAAAGCGATGCTTCGTACATTGTTCAAAATTTCCTAAAGATTACAATTTTGAGAAGGAAAAGTTAGTTCGACTGTGGATAGCCGAAGATCTTGTACAGCAACCCAAAAGCAAAAAATCAGTGGAAGATGAAGGTCATTCCTACTTTCTTCAACTATTATCAAGGTCTTTCTTTCAGGTATCAAGTGATGACAATTCCTATTTTGTAATGCATGACCTATTCCATGATTTAGCTCAACATATATCTGGAAAGTTCTGCTTTTGGTTGGATGATGATAAGCCACTTGATTGTAATTGTGAAAAAGTTCGTCATTTCTCATATGTTCGGAGCAAATATGATGCATTTGAGAAATTCAAAGTTGTTAATGAGGCGAAAAGCCATTTACGAACTTTCATAGGATTTTCAAAACGTGGCCAATCTTTCTTGGGCAATAAGTTTCTACATGATATGTTGCCATACCTGAGATGCTTAAGGGTGTTATCTCTGTCTCGATATAAGATTCATGAATTGCCTCAGTCGATTGAAAATTTGATACATTTACGCTATTTGGATCTTTCTTTTACAAAAATCAGTCGGTTACCTGATTCAGTAACAACCTTGTGCAACCTACAGACATTGGACTTGTCATATTGTAGAAACCTCATTGAATTGCCCGTCAACATGGGAAAACTAATAAAGTTGCGCTATCTTGATATAACAGAAACTAGATTGACTGAGATGCCAACGCAAGTGAGCAAATTGAAAGATCTCCAACATTTAACAAATTTTGTAGTTGGCAAGGATGGTGGGTCAAGAATTAGTGGGTTGAAGGAACTTTGTGAACTTCGGGGGCAACTCTGCATTTCAGAGCTTCAAAATGTAACCAGTGGTCTAGAGGCATCAGAGGCAAATCTAAAAGGAAAGAAGCATCTTGAAGGGTTAGAGCTGAAATGGGGCAGCGATACTGACAATTTACAAAATGAAAGAGTTGTACTAGACAACCTACATCCTCATGATGGAGTGAAGCATCTCCGTATCATTAACTATGGTGGCAAAAGATTTTCAGATTGGTTAGAGAAAGGTAATTCGTTTCATGACATGGTGTCCTTGGATCTTATAGGCTGTGAAAATTGCTCTTCTTTGCCATCAATTGGGCAGTTACCCTCTCTAAAATATTTAACAATTGAAAGCATGAATGCAATAAGGAAGGTCGGTGGGGAGTTCTATGGGAATGCTTCTTCTTCAATCAAACCGTTTAAATCTTTGGAGACACTAAGGTTTTATAAAATGGCAGAGTGGGAGGAGTGGGAAGCATCAGGGATTAAAGAGTTCTCTAGCCTTATAGAGTTTTCTATAGACAATTGTCCCAAGTTGACCAGTGAATTATCTATCCGCTCCCCAATCCTAACAAAGCTTAACATTTCCGGATCCAATCAAGTTAGGCTGTTACTGCAAGGACTTCCTTGCATTCAGGAGTTGAAGATTTCAAATATTCCAAATTTGACGGAATTGCCCCAACAACTACAACACCTGTCTTCTGTTCAGGAGTTGAAGATTTCAAATATTCCAAATTTGACGGAATTGCCCCAACAACTACAACACCTGTCTTCTGTTCAGGAGTTGAAGATTTCAAATATTCCAAATTTGACGGAATTGCCCCAACAGCTACGACACCTGTCTTCTCTTCAAAAATTGGAGATTTCAAATATTCCAAATTTGACGGAATTGCCGCAGCAAATGCAACACCTGTCTTCTCTACAGGAATTGGAGATTTCAGGGATGTCAAACTTGAAGGAATTGCCACAGGAGTTGTGCCGATTAGTAAATCTTGAAAGGTTGAAGATAGAGGAATGCCGGAGGCTTGTGTCATTTCCGGACATGAGGCTGCCGCCGAAGCTTAAGACGCTGGAGATCAAAAGATGTGAAGGTCTACAGTCCCTAGCATCAGAGGAAATCATCAACAATTGTCTTGAAGAGTTGCGTATCTCTGATTGTTCATCTCTTCTTCAGGTGTCTTTGCCCATCGCTACATTGAAAACACTTGACATCTCCTCCTGTAGGAGATTAGAGTTTCCCCTGTCCGAGGAGATGAAGGAGTATAATTACTCCACATCCATTGAAGTTTTGAGTATTAATGAAAGCTGTGATCTTCTCAAGTCGCTGTGGTTAGGCTTCTTTCCAAAGCTTCGTGATCTCTACATCAAGTCGTGTATGGATTTGGAAACGCTCTTGATCCCAACCATGCTTCAACATCTGATAAACCTTGAAATAAAGAATTGCCCTAAAATGGTATCCTTTCCCCATGGTGGTGGAGATGGAGGAGGATTATTGGCCATTCCCAATCTCATGTATTTGACAATCTGGGGTTGCGAGAATCTGAAGCGGCTACCGCATCAAATGCACACCCTCCAATCTCTTCATAATTTTCAGATACAAGAATGTCCAGAAGTTGAATCATTTCCAGACGAAGGTTTGCCATCCAACTTAAGGAGACTTGATATCATTAATTGCAATAAACTGATGAAGGGCCGGATGAGGTGGGATTTGCAGCAAAAACTCCCATCTCTTGAAGAATTCAGGATCGGCGGTGAAAGTGAAGAAGAAGAGTTGGAGTCATTTCCGGATGAGTGCCTGTTGCCCACCACTCTTACTAGACTTGACATCTGGGACCTTTCAAATCTGAAAGCACTGAACCACAAGGGCCTTCAACACCTCACCTCTCTTACAGACCTACACATCAGTTTTTGCCCTAAGCTCCAGTCCTTGCCAGAAGAGGGGCTGCCCAACTCCCTCTCTTACCTGGACATATTCGGATGTCCATTTCTGAAACCACGTTTCCAAAGGGAGAAAGGGGAAGATTGGTCCAAGATTTCCCGAATCCGCCACATAAACCTCGTAGGTGAAGACATCATAAACTTAGAGTGAGAATGATTCAGTGGTTTGTAATCGTCCAGAAAAACCCAATCAGGTACTTGTTCTACACTCCCTGCAACTTAAACAAACTTGTTTCTATCTTCTATCCATTGAATTTCTCTTTCATTGCACTACTTCAGTGAGTGGTGGAAGTGGTTGTGAAAGCTATTATGCTTCAGTGACTATTAACATTATGTTGTTCTTTTGTATGCCATTTCGCGATTTTCATAATATTTGTTGTGACATTTTTTCCTTTTGCAGGTAAGGATTTCTTCTTGGGCTCCAGCTGCTGCTGCAAGCTTGCAATTAAGGTAGGGAGAGTCTGGAAAATGCTGGGAAACTCGTTATTGTAAGTTGAATTTCTTTCATTAACTAATCTTTCTTTTATTTATTTATTTTTTATGGTCTCTCTTAAAGTATAAATCAATTGTGATAAGTTGTTGTGGGCAGCTTTGTGACTATACAAGGCCACCAAATCACGGATCCTCTCAATGTTCTCTATTTTTCGTACGTGATTCACCATTCCTTGTTGCTTTCTATCCAAAGTTGTTTTCTTATAATTTATTGAAGTCCTCTTCTCTTTTTCCTTCATTTTTTATTTTGCATACAGTTTTTCAATTGGCCCAGACTTTCTAAAGACAAGTAACAACTTTTTCCTGCTTAATAAATTAATGGTGACGGTTATGTTTGATTTGAATTCTGTTTCTACCATGAAATTTCAGGTAGTTCTAAATCTAATACAACTTTCAAGCCAATGTTCTTCATTTGTTGCTAACTGCTTTTGTTTTGTTCATCTTAATCTTCTTGTTTCTAATGCTTCTCCATTTTGTTATGCCATGTTCATGATTGAATTATTTGGAAGTTGTTACCTGTTTTTTTTTTGTTCATCTTTGTCTTCTTGCTTCCAATTTTCTTTTTCCTGGTAAGTATGATTATTATTCAACATTAAATATTTTCTTCTATTAAGATTCCTGATGCTCCTTTCTCAGTCTTCAAATTCCTAGTTGTACTTGTACACATTATGTTGATCCTTTGTATGCCATTTCGCGATTTTCATAATCTTTGTTGGGACATTTTTTTTCCTTTTGCAGGTAATCTTTGTATGCCATTTCGCGATTTGGATAATCTTTGTTGGATTTCTTCTTGACCTCTTTGTTGGATTTTGATAATCTTTGTTGGATTCCAATTTTCTTTTTCCTGGTGAGTATGATTATTATTCAACATTAAAGAAAAGAGGAGATGGTGGTTGATAAATTTTCTTCAATTATTCATCAAAGTAATATGGGTTAACCTCGAGTATGACTTGAATCATTATATAGCACAATTTGAGTGTCGATTAAAATATAAGTTCTACTAAAAATAAGGAGAGATTTTAATTGAGTGATTGCACTTATTGCTAATAGTTGGACACTTACAATATAAAAAGAAAAAAAAAAAATTCTCAATCTATAATTACTGCTCAAAATTCAACATTTAAAACTCAATTGTTAAAATTTACTGTACTAAAAATTCAGTTGTTAATATATATATATATATATATATATATATATATATATATATATTTATTGGACCGATTTAGAATTACTGAGGTAGGCAAATTGACTAGGGTATGTTCAAAACACATGCACAGTTCTACTTGAATCATTTTTGCTGAAATAGAAAATTGTGCCAAAGCCACTACAATATGGTAACAGACATCTATGGGGTGCTTTGAGTTCAATTCTTATTATTAATTATTTTATTGTTACTGGGTATTATAATTTTCACATTCTTGACTGACAAAACCCATGGACGCTCCTTTTTTTTTTTTGCAGGGGACACGTGGATTTTAATGGATACTGTGTTGGAAAACTAATGCTGAATCACAAAATCATGGAACTTATATATATATATATATATATTGCTGGGCTGTCCAGTATTTTTCATTTGGTTATTGAGTTATTGTGAAATTGTCTATCAAGTTGTGTATTGTACTGTAAACGATGCCCACCCCTTAGGCATGGGAGACATTTGCTGTTGCTGGTTGGACTGTTGTGTAATGTAGTGGCTGAATTGAATTTGTACTTCTTAATTTCTTTCAACTATGCTGAACTGACTTTGTATTTCTTAATTTTGCTTCAACTATGAAATGTTATCTTTTTTTTTTTCTTTTTTTTTCTCCTTAAATTGCTGGTTGTATGCCAAGGTGTGTAATCCAGCAACATTCCTCTACTTTTGAAACTGAAAGAGGGGGGTTTAACTCCTATTAGGGACAAATGTGTGCCAGTGTTTGTAACCAACGAAAAATAAAACATTTCTGATTGTACTCGGAAGTGGAATAGTTCCATAATGATATTAAATAAAAAAAAATTCCTTTTTTGTGGTTTGTTGAAGAGCAGTTATCGCTTTCTTTATAGAAATATAATGACATTTTTGTATGATATGGTTGTTGATGGGAATATGTAATCAGTACAGAACTTGCTTTCATGGTGGTGTTAACGTAGTAATAAAAAAGTACAAATTGACCCTCTTCTAGGTAGGCATCCCACTAGTGTAAAGTCTTTAATGCTTGCTTTCATGGTAGTGTCGTTAGGACAATCTTACTACTTCAGAGAAAAGAGATAGTCAACTCACAAAATCACAAATGTAGTCACAAAACCAGTAATTTCAAACTGGTAGAAGAAGGGCTGTGACACTGGTTCTGTGGAGAAACATGGTTTTTTTTTTGCGTAAGTGTTCGACACCGTTCAGCCTTCACGCACCAAGTGGCTTGCAATGATCTGTGTGCTTCCCGTCTCAACTCAACTAATACAAGGGCTATAGCTCAGATCATATGCTGTTATAGCACCGTGCTGTAGGGTTTTTCAAAAAAGGAGAATTAATGTGTTCAACACCATTTACGAAGAAAAAAACTGTGTTCAACACCACTACAGAAGAGGATCCAAGTGCAAAACAGTTGAGCGGGATTGGAGTAGATCTATTTATCTGTGCTCAAGTGATAGAAAGGTTGAGCTGGGTTGTATAAATTGCTCATTTTCTAGTACCACTAATTAAAAAAAAAAAAAAAAAAAAAAAAAAGGAAAACAAAAAAAATGAGCTTTTTATTTCTGAACAATTCCATGTAAATGAGAATTTAAGTGATATCTGTACAAATTCAAATACCTTCCATTCATATAGCTGCAATTTCTTTTTTCCTAGAATTCCCCAGTCTCTCTCTCTCTCTCTCTCTCTCTCTCTCTCTCACTCTCTTAATTTTGAGTTTAATACCTAATACCTCACAAGTCAAAGTAGGTGGAAAAGGCCATCACTATATTAGCTATTATGCATTTCATAGCATGGTGGCCGGTTCATAACCCTTCTTCAAAGGTCCGACTAATTTGGTCGGTTTACACCGATATTCACTCCGAGTCCATTACATCTTAACCGTGATTGATACCGCAACTGCAAACCATGTTTCATAGACAATGTTCTACCTGATCAAGATATCTTTTTGGAAAAATTCCTTGGAATATCAATATGACTAGCAATTTATTAATATATCTATTCTCAATATTCAATCTTGCATTGCGTTTGGAGAATCATTACCGGCGCTCATCATGCATCATTCAGGGAATGAAAAAATAAATTTGGTTTGAAGAGTGACGTTTCTTCAGAAGGTTTAACAAACAAAGAAGCAAAACAAACTTGACATGCATTGGTTTTCCGAGAAAAGTGTGTAGAAAATTTACAGAGAAAATGATTGTAACACCACATATTATGAATTTTTACTTTTAGCAAGGTCAGCAGGAAACCCCAAACTACTGAGACCGGGAAAAAAATAGCTCAGATTATCACCGATCCTGGACCTCAATTTGTGCATACCTCACTGGTAATACAACAACAACAACAACCAATCCTTTTTTCCTAACTGCTTGGTGTTGGCTACATGAATCTTATGTTTCAACTCTGCTCTATTTAAGGGGTCAAACTACATGCATCATATCCTTCGTCACTAACACAACCAGTACCCATTTCAACTTTGGTCCTCCTCTTCCCCTAATATTTGCATACAGCATTGGTCACATAAGAAAATACAAAGAGATAAATATTGATGAAAACATGATACATTTTCATATCATCTGAGGACTACATTTCTATTCTGGAATTCATGGAACTCCAAAAGTCTTGTGTACTGACAAAGGCCGCAAACTTTTCATTTTGCAATCTTATTATGGGAATGCGAGAATCAAAAGGAGTGTCAATGAAATGAAGGTTAGAGTCATGAACTGAAGAGGTCAAGGGCTAAATTAAAAATTGAATGAATTGGTGGGATTCATTTATGTTACAGTTATTGGACAGTGGACACACCAGCACTTTTGTGTAATACAATTATTAAATTTACACTTGGAACATATTTATAATCCATAGTTTACCAGGACATATTGTTCTTTTACACCCTTTCCTTCCTGTGCTCACGGTTTTTTCTAAAACGAGTATTCATATTTTGGGAGATATCCACATCCACATATATAAGGTGCCAACAATTAACATAGAAAACATAAAATTAACATAGAACTCTTCTATCTCAAGCTTTCAACCAACATTTTCAACACAAAAACAAAATGTCAAAACACATAAAGCTACAAAATTATAATCTATACCAATTTCATATAATCCTCCATTATTGAAGAAAGTAACCAGCTAAGAACAACACAATATCTATGCAAACAAAATATGGTATTAAAAACCATTCAATTGACATTGAACTCTTCTATCTCATGTATTCAATACAACATTTTCAATACAAAAACAGAATGTCACAACACAAAGCTACAAAATTATAAACTATACCAATTTCATGTAATCCTCCATTATTGAAGAAAGTAACCAGACAAGAACAACACAAAAAAGAAGAGCAAGCTACCATATATGAGCACAACCTTTTGGCCAGAGGTGAGTGTGTTACCACCAAGTCCAAACTGCTGGTTCTGAGCAAACCCTGCAATCTCCACACTCTTACTCTCAAAGAAGCTCTTCGCCGCCCCGCAAGTTGGGCACCGCCAGTGCTCCGGCAGCTTGTCGAATTGCAGCCCCGGCGGGACCGGATAAGCCGGGTCGCGGCCTCATTGTAGAGGTACCCACATGACCGGCACTGGTAAATTCCGGTGTTCAAGACCACAAATTTCTCTTCCAGTCTACGTTTATCAATATTCTCAGGCTCAGATGGTGGAGTAGTCTCAGAGGAAAGTGGAGCTGAATTGGGTTGTTCCAAAATGGGTTTTTCCGAAAGGGGGGTGTCTTCTTTCGAGACATCAATGGAGTTGAATATGAGTTTTGGGTGTTTGTGGGGAGTGAAATTGGGAATTTGAGGTGGG